AGTCCTTGCAGTTTTCAAGGGAATTGTTTTTCGGAAGTGGTTTGCCAGAGCCTCCTTCCTACAGCAGAGCTGGGGGTTTCCGCAGGAGGCGGGGTTTTCGTTGCTTCGCGCCCTTTTCGCGCTTACCGGCAACTGCTCCCAACTCCTTTTTGCACGGCGCCGCCAGCATTTTTCCTCCCACCGGAGTGAGAGTACCCATTTGTCTACTCACGATACTTACACATTAAGGGCGAATAAAAGAAGTTAAGAGGAAAATTAGGAGAAATTAAGAATATTAAATTCCCATGTAAATTCTTCGCGCCCTTTTCGCGCTTACCGGCAACTGCTCCCAACTCCTTTTTGCACGGCGCCGCCAGCATTTTTCCTCCCACCGGAGTGAGAGTACCCATTTGTCTACTCACGATACTTACACATTAAGGGCGAATAAAAGAAGTTAAGAGGAAAATTAGGAGAAATTAAGAATATTAAATTCCCATGTAAATTCCCAGGCTATTCTTTAATTTTGATGTTGTTTTGACTATAGGCTGCAACTTTTAAAATGCTGTAATTTTAACTTTTTTTCTTTTAAGCTTGTGAGTGTGATCCAGATGGCACTGTTCCTGATTCTAGCTGTGATCCCATGGATGGTCGTTGTGTCTGTAAGGACAATGTGCAAGGAGACCGTTGTCATCTTTGCAAGCCTGGCTTTACTCAGTTGACCAACTCTAATCCTCAAGGTTGCAGAGGTAAGTTGAAACCTGAAATAGATCAAGAGGATGCATTTGCAAATTACTTGTGCCATTTCCTGAGGTGCGGTTTATAATAGCATTAGAATGCCATGACAAACCAATATTCCCTCATTGTCACAGGATGCTGGCCTTAAACAGTCCAATACTGATCTTTCATGTACCACAAATCAACCAATAGTATCTGCTTAAAAATGCACAGTATTTAGAGTAAGCTTTGAGATTTCTAAATCTCTTCATCAGGAACAGAAGGTAAAGAAGTTTACATGGCTCAGATTTTAAGATGGAGTACCTTAGGCTATATTAGGAGATATGCAGCTTTAGGTTACATTATGAATTATTGGGAAAAGGAAATGGTTGAGTCTTCCATTATTAATGTTAAAATACAGTGTTAATTCCAGCATAAGATAAAACATGCACGTTCCTTGTAAAATGCTCTGTATTTTTTTAAAAATCTCTTTATTGGGCAGAAATTGGCCATTTTGGTTTCCCCTTTCCATATTTTAGCTCAGTGGCCAGTTTAGAAGGTTAAAATTTGTGAGATTAGAAAATTAAATTTTGCTTATGAGATTATGTGTATTCCCTTAATGAGCTTGCAATTATATGATAAATATAGAATGTGCTGTGGATATTGAAGCCCCAAGATCACTTTACCATGACCCATTTTTCATGCAGCCAGGCCCAGTGATTAAATTGAAACTTCACACTAAGCAATATTGTATGCTCATACAACATGCTCAGTGGGGTTGGGAGAAGGGGGGAAAAGGCACAGACAGTTGATATTGGTTAACAGCTCCCCAAATCTGTCTGTGGTGGTGCTGATCCCAACTGCATCACACTGCTGTACCG